AAAAAAAAAAAAAAAAAGACATCATGCCCTATATTATAAAGAAGCCAGAGTTTCCATCTCTGGCTCTAGTTTTTTTAAGCATGAGTTTTGTTGATTATAGAATGAAGCTTATTTCTATTTTCCTCATGGCTTTTTAATATGCCAAGTTGTGCAAGCATCAGCTTCAAAAAGTAGCAGTTGGTGTTTTAAGCATGGCTTTTTCCATCCTACCCCATTGCCAGCCACCCAAAGGGAGACTGTGCGGGTGGGGCATCATGGTTTTGTGAGTCAGTAAAGCAAATTGGGGCTGTTGCCAAACTGAACTTTGGGTGTACACTTTCCATATCACTGGGTTATGGAACCAAGGTTTAAAACAATACTGTGAAGAAAACACTAGATTGAGAGTTAGGAACTCTAAATTTTCTAATCCTTTCACTGATCCAGTGAATTTGGGGCAAGTCACTTCCCATCCTTAGATTTTAATTTCCTCAACTAAAATGAAAGGGCCAGACTGAGGATTTTTCCATCTGAGAATCATTTTCTGATTTTCAAAGGAATAAAGGAGGAACTATTTAGTTGCCTGACATGCCATTTCATTCCCATGGCAGCAGCTCCGGGCTTCACCGGCCTCTAGTTATTTAGCAGTTGCTGCAGATAGGAGGTTTCAGGACTTTGTTGAGGGGCCAAAGTGCTGGCTAATTTCTTTCTTTCTCTTACAGTTTCTGAGTTTATTCTAAAAGTTTGATCTCCACCTTGGTGAACTCACAGTAAGTGTGGGCAGAGTACTGAAGTCAAGAAGGAAAAAAAAGGTATGGGAGTTTTAGTTTATTTTAAAAAAACACTAATATATGAACGAGATTAGCCAGGCATTTTGTCCCATGTCAAATCTCATTTATGAATAGTTCTTGTCTAAGTTATCACACAACTTGTCACACAGGCTAATGTGAAAGTGTAAAAGTGCTGACCTGGGAGGCAGGAGATGAGCTAGGTCCCACTAGGTAAATGTATGACCTCTGAGAAGTTCCTTCTCTTTCTAGGACAAATTTTCCTCATCTGTACAAGGAGGAGTTTAGACTACTGTTATCGGCTAAATTGTGCCCCACCCCCAATTCCTGTGTTGAACTCTTAACCCCTAGTACCTCAGAACATGACCTTATTTAGATATAGGATTGCTGTACATGTAACTATGTAGTTAAGATGAGGGCGTGTTGGAGTAGGGTAAGCTCCTGATCCAATATGACTGACATCTTATAAAATGAAGAAATTTGGACACAGATACAGACACAGGGAGAATGCCACGGAACGAGAAATGCAGAGATCAGAGGGATGCTTCTACAAATCAAGGTTCACCAAAGATTGCCATCAAACCACCAGAAGCTAAGTGAAAGACATGGAACAGATTCTCCCTCACTATCCTCAGAAGGAATCAACTCTGCCATCCCCTTTATTTAGGACTTCTAGCCTTCTAGAATTGTGTGACAATACATTTCTGTTGTTTAAGCCACTCAGTTTATGGTAGTTTATTAAGGTAGCCCTAGCAAGCTAATACAACTACATCAGTGGTTCCCAATCTTTTCTCTACAAAGAACCCTTTTGCTCTTTGCCCCCTTGTGGACCCAATTAATTTATTTAACAAATATTTACTGAGTATCTACTATATAGCAGGCCCTTATTCTAGGCATTGGAGATACACAAAGTCACAAAGCAAAGATCCCTCCTTTTGAGTTCATTCTATGTTTTAAAATATTTAATCAGTAAAGTATACAACAGTTTATTTTGTTTTAGTAATAATATGTGTATTTTCTCATGCAATAACCAGTATTACCTCATCAATGTGATATAATTAGTGCAAAAAATCAAAGAAAAGTGAGGTTTTAAGTAGCTGTTGATTCCTTATAGCAAGTAAATGCATCCAAACACACCCAATAAATACATCATTAGGTTTTTTTAAATATTGAAAATTGTTCTCAGAACCCCCATTACTACATCTACGCATCCCCGTTGGTTCAAGGAAGTCATTACAGGGTGATTAGCTAGAGCAGGGATCAGCAAACTTTTCTTGTCAAGGGCACAATAGTGAACATTTTAGGCTTTGTGGAGAGTACAGTCTCTGTCACAACTACTCAACGCTGTCGCTGTTGTAGTGTGAACTAGCCATAACAGTGTGAAAGTAGCCATAGACAATACAAAGGAATGAGCGTGGACAGTGAAATTTGAATTTCATATAATTTTGACATGTGGCAAAATATTTATAAATGGCAAAACCATTCTTAACTCATGGGCTATAGAAAAACAGGTAGTAGGCAGGCTGGATGTATGTATTTGGCTAGCTGGCCACAAATTTGCCAACCCCATAGCTGGAGTCTCTCTAATTCTGCCCTAATTCTGGCATTATGTGGTTCTTATTCCCCTCATGCAGAGCGCATGAGGCCCACAGAGGGATTAAGTTTGAACTCAAAGGTGGGCTTCCTGCTGCCCAGTCCATGGCCCTTAACAAGGCTCTAAGATGCTAGTAATTATTTCAGATGTGGTCTTTGTGTCTATGTGGTGCAGAAAATAGATGTGTGGTCAGTGGCCCTTTCCAGTTCACCATGTAAGGGCTGTCCTCTTAGTTTGTCAAACCTGTCCCTAGGCTTACGCACCCTTTCCGTTTATACCTCTCTCAGGTTGCACAGGCCCGCCTGGGAGGCCCACCTGTCCCTTACTATTTGAGCCCCTGTCGTCTCACTGGCGGCTTTCGAAGCAGCTGCAAAATATGTTTTTAACTTTAAGTGGAACTTGGGGTCATCGGTGTGGAGCCTGGAACAGTTACTCTCAGCAAGGGCTCTTTCAGCCCTGACATTCTATAGCTTTATGGACTCTGGTGAGTGTTAAAACTACCTCCTCCCAGCTTCCAAAGGCTGGACTTTCGCTGAGGGTAATAATTAATTAGGCATTTGCTCAAGGGCTGGGGAATAACGTGCACTGCTTTTTTTCTGTTGTTTGTGGTCTGAATCTGCTTGGTTGCCTAGCACCACATTGGTCTGCCTGGTCCTCCTTCCTCTCAGCTCGGCTGCTCCGGTCGCCCCGCAACCGAAGCTTTGCGACAGGGGATCGGACTAGGACTCCGACACGAGGTGTTCGCTGGCGGTCAGTAGGCGGCGGCAAGAGCGGCGCCTGCCCGGAAGAACCATGCTGCGAGGCAAGTCCCGGCTTAACGTGGAGTGGCTAGGCTACTCTCCAGGGTTGCTCCTCCGCCACAGGTCGCCCCCGGGTGGGCGTACGCCGCGGAACCCTGGCCGGTAAGTCACGTGAACGCCTGCGCCCGCCGCAGTCGCGTCACCTCATTGCGCCGCGTCTGCACGCTGCGTCCCTCCACCCAGCGCTCGCCGGTACTTCCGGCGCGGCCTACCTCTACCGCTGGCCGACAGAGCTAATTGAGAGTGCCTGCCGAGCCCAGTCCGCCTGCTAATACCTGCTGCGGGTGGCATAGCTATGGAACGCCTTGATAAAGCGGCGCTGAACGCACTGCAGCCGCCCGACGTCAGGTAGTTCAGAGCGGAGCTCGGACCGGGCAGGGGCCCCGACTGTGAGGCGGGCCCGCCCGGGTCTGAAGCTAG